AAATCTGTGGTGCACCTTTTAAAAAAGATTAAGGTAAGCTGTGTAGACCTACTGCACAATCCTTTAAGTTGATATGAATAAAACTTCAGGATTCAGCGTTTGCATACCTTGTGATGGACCACCATAGAGTAAGCCAGAGGAAACTCCTCCTCTTCTTCACTTAATGGGAATGTTATGTATTTCCTGCTTAACTTGAATTTCCTGTCAAAACAAAGTTTTGAAGAATTTCAGTGAAATCTGAAACATTTCAGTCATGACTCAGAGTTCAACAGTTAGTGATTTAAAGCAACACACCTGCAGTCTTTAGTTGCATTAATATAATACTCGTCAGGGATCTGAACTCTCTTGCGGAAGTCTTTTGTGATGGTCAGTAATTTGGCCTTTTCCAACTCCGCCTTGTTTCCCTGCATGATTGCAGAACAGTTGCACTCTTTCTCCGGACCGTCATCAATATCTGTATAATCCAACCAGCTGTAGTTAAGACTCCAGTCTGTTCTCATATCACTGAGTAGGGAAAGCATCCACACCGATCCCAGCACAACAGTGAGCTTCAATAACAGTGACAGCGGACCTCGTCTTCGTAGCCGCATTATTTTAGAGGACTTGAACGACGATGCTTTTACAGTGAGAGATCTGTATGTTGTTCAGCTGTGCTTAATGTCAGCCTTTTAATTTCTTTCACAGTCCCTGATGTATTTTTTTTATGTCAACAAACATCAAGTGTCTAAAATCATGACACATAAAATCACTACAATTTCATGGCATATGCCCTGTTGATCTGTTTGTGACTGACTCAGATTTCAATCAAGAATACTTTGTTCTGTGACACCAGTGTAGGTGATTTTCCAGTCTTTGCTACTTGCAGCAAAGCTTTAATAAACGTGTTTGTAGTAATGCTTAGCGGTGTGTAGGCAAGTTTCTTTCATTACGAAGCCAGGCAGATGACTCCATATATTATTGCCCCTGGAAAAAAAATAAAAGAAGTGATATGAACACATCCATTCTTCTGTCAAACTGTTCCCACATGTATAAAGATATAAAGATAATCATAAAGCAGATGTCATGTTTCCATGAGGACTGTCGACCTTAATTGTAAATGATGATGACATGAATCAAATATAATGCTGTTAATCAAAGCACGAGTACAAAAACAAAAAGAAACTAATAAAGACTGAGTTTGGAGATAAACCAGAGAAAAGTTATACAAGTTGAAATAATGTGTTGTTTCTCTCCATAACTGTACGCTTTTTGTTTGGTCAAGTAGTTTTCAAACAAGAAGTTTTGCTTTTANCGCACCATCAGCTCATCATCACCAACACAACGCTCATTTGCATCCAACAAACAAATCAAGCTTCAGTTCAGTTGTGTGGTCCTCGCTCGTGAAACTATTTTTCTCTCAAGCTTCATGAAATTTCAGGCTGATTTTACCTTTTTTTGCCCAAAATTGTGTAATTGATGTCATTTTCCATAACAAGGACTGGTAAGTAAGTAAATGTTTGGCTGCAGTATTACACAGTCTCTGCAGCTGCTGCAGTGAAGTCACCTGATTTCTGAATATCTACTGTCTTTATACATTCTCTTAATTTGTCAATCTGCTGCTCAGCAGACTCATGAGTCAGAGTTTTATTATTTGGAGAGTAAAACACCTTTAAAAAGGCTACAGTGCATCTACCTTCTAAATTAAAGAGCAGATCTGGCAGCCGCTGAACAAATGCAGAGTTTGCAGTATTGTGCTTGTGTTGGACAGCACTGTAAAGAAAACATGCTGTGTGGTTTTTATTTATCACGCGTTATATATTTTTTGATCTAGCATCACTTTGCTTGACATGTTTACTTCTACAGTGTCAATAACTGGGATGTATTGCAGTTATTTCTCTCGTTCCTTCTCTCACTCAGAGCCGACAAGGGGAACTCCGCTGTTTGACGAGGTGCTCGACTCCCGCCTGTCTTCCTGCTGTGTTATGCTGTACTCTACCACAGCATGTGTGAATATAAAAGCCGGCCTGCAGCATGACGTGTACCACACGCAGGTGTTACACCAACAACTAGCAGTGGACTCAGAGAGGAAGATGCTGTGGTACAAAACATCAGGCAAAGGCTTGTTCATTAGGGAACGTTCAAATCTGCGGGTACTGAATATACAGTAATGCTGTATTTGCAGTGCAGACACTGTCACTGTGCTGAAGGAACGATGCTTGACACTGTATTAGAGGACTTAACACAGCACTAAACGAAGGGCCCCATTTTGTTTTCTTTTACTTCATCTTTACTGTGAACCAGGCTTTTATTCATATGTAACTCACGCCAGAGGCATTGTTTCATGTTTTGGAGATTTATTCCTGACTGACTTTCATGTATTAACAACATCCACGTGTTAATAATTTAGCTATGGTAATATTAACTGGATTTTCTAAAGCCATAGTGAGGCTCATGACTCTTTCAACATATAACCAAATACATGCAAACAGAAGTTGCATTACATCCCATCTGCTCTCAAATAAACATTTGTGTTCCCTGGATGATCGGGGTGTAACTGTGTAGCCCTGTCAATAGAGTGTAATTGTGTGATTTTAGGCAATTGAGGTTTACAAAAATATAATCCACACACAAAAAGTTTGCACTGTGAGTTTGTACTGGCATGAAGCAAAAATGGTCAAGGTGGTTTGTGAACCATTTCCAAAAGTGTAGGCGGCTCCCGTCACCGTGGAGTTTTACGTTGTGTTTCTTCCTCGTCCGGCACCTCAGTCGCTCCTTAAAGACATGAGTAAGCTGATCCGTTAACGTCATATAAGGTAGCCAACAAGCAGTTCTCAGTAGCTGCAGTGATGTGTTGCATGCTTTCAGTTGTTACAGTTGGAGATTACGCCGATCTTACGCCACACTCAAACTCGTGTGTCAGTTTCATTTTAAGTCATGGTTTATTCCAGTTCTCCATGTGCATGCAAGAGAGTGACTCAGAGGGATCGTTGGGGTGTGGTGAGGAAATTATTCATGTGCACTGACATTGAGAGAGATACGGTATTGAAAATGTACACTGTGCTGGTTGGAACATGTCTACATTTACTTGTGGTTTCTTATATTTGTACATGTTTGTTTGTGGCTTGCACAGTATTCATTTGTCGTAAAATATGTAACATTATTTACTTTATTAAAGGTGTGTTCCTCCCAGTCTTTTTTCTTTCTTTTGATTTTTTTAAAGAGGTGAGTCCCAGTGAATTATTTCAACCTCTTCGACCCTGACGAATAAAAACACTTTTTAATATCAACGTGGATACAAATTAATCATTTAACAAAGTGCAGCACCAACTGTCACAACCAACCAACTTAGTTTTACTTAAATATTCTCCCAACTTACTGTTCCTTTACCAATTGATTTTCTTGTTTGTTTTCCATGTACGGCCAGAAATCAAACTAGCATATTTTTCCCTTTAAGTTTTTGAGAAGTTTGATGGAATAGCGTTCTCCCCGTGCAGCGTGTGTTCTCTCCGGGTTCTCCG